ATAAAATAAAAATAAAATAAAATAAAGGCAGGAAGGCAGGAAGGCAGGAAGGCAGGAAGGCAGGAAGGAAGGAAGGAAGGAAGGAAGGAAGGAAGGTAGGTAGGTTTCTGGGAGACAGCTGATGGAACTTAGGCATCAAACAGAGACTAAAGTGTGAATTCAGGTATTTTAAACTTTTCATATAGCCCTAGCATAGACATTGATTCTGAAGACATATACAAATAGAGATGTACTTCTTAGCCACTTTCTCTAAAGTTAAGGCAGTGGCAAAAGACTTACTGACTCCTTTACTCCAGTGTCTCAACTGCTCAGTCCCTGTGGTGCACTCAAGACGGAACCAAGCAATAGTTAGCAGTTGAGGTGTCTATAAATACTGGGAAAGAAAGGGTTAACAAATCTATTGTCTATCTCTCTGCAGTGATGCAGGCTGCCTTCCAGACACCATTGAGAACCACTGCTCTAGGCAAGCCAACAAAAATAGTAATCTCTTGTCTACTACATCTTCTAGCTAAGGGTCACTGCTGTTGAAGAAATGTCTAAAAGATAATGGAAAATCTGATTTGGAGAGTGGAATCATTCCTCACTTAAAGTGCCTTTTAAAGCATGTTAACTCTTCTCCATGCCAAACTGTGGTATGAAGCTAAGAAGTCAAAGTAAACACAAATAACTTAATTGTTGCAATGCATCCCTGCAGCTAAACAAGTTGCCAACACACTTTAGTATAACCTTTCAATTCACACAGATAACTAGGACTTTCAATAATCCACCAGTTGCTACACAGAAAATTAGTGGGGTTACTGATGTTCTAGGCATGACATGTTTCTCAAAGATTTTATGTACCAGGGACTGAAAAGAGAGGGGTAAAGAAAAAAAATCATTTTGTATGCCCTTGGGACTTTCATACAAGTTAACTCAGTTATTGGAGGACTTTTATCATTTGAGATGTTTCTGTGATGAAGAATGTATGTACTGTGTTACAATACAGACATGAAAACTGTGATCCCTGTAATAAAAACTGAATTGCATAGTTGAATGCAGTCTCCTGGAGGCAAAGGCCACTTGTGTTTCTGTTTAAACCTCATATACAGATGATAATTATGATTTTGTAAACAAGTTTGTAAACAGGAAAAGTTTAAAAACTTCACCTTGAATAAAATTTGGATCCATGCTCCAGACTAAAAAGAATTCCTCTATTTTTAGAACACTTTTTCCTGATTCTTTAATTTCAAGTATATATAATGGACTGAATCCACACTGAGATAGTTATACTCACTAAAATCAATGGCACTTCAGTCATTACCATCTCTCACAGATTCCAACGGAATCCCCAGTAATTTAGACTAGATCCAAGCCTATCTAAACCAGATTCAAAATGTGCACTTTTAAAAACTTAGCTATGAGAATGAATATTTTTTTAAAACAAATACTGAAGATTCACACACATGCATGCGCATCCACCCAGATACAATTTCATGTATTAGGATTTATCCCTGGTGTTTGTTTTTATGTATAGTTTTGCTATGTGTTGTTATTGGTTTTATCATACTTGTTTTACTACATTTTTTATTTTCAATGTTTTTAATTATGTATGTCATATTACATTTTTAATGTGTATGCCACTCAAAAACATAGATTGTTGACTATTTTAAAAATATCCTAACAATCTTCTTTATTCACCCAATTATTGTTTATAAAATCTTGTACCGCAGTCTAATGCACAGTTCTTTATTGTTAAGTCCAACATGTATTTCAGTATTCAATTGTTTTAAAATATTTCCTGAAAATCCTGTGCCTGCTGGGATAAAATTCTTGCTGATTTGATCGGAGTCAATACTGTATTTAATGGTACTTATACATGTCCTATATATCTTGAAAGTACTTCAGTGCTAAGATTGGAAACAGTTGGACTCGTGTCTGTTCCAGCCTTGGTTGTGTCTGGACACAGTGCACTGCTAGCTGGCTTTATTCCTGAATGTCTAGCATTTCTGAAATTCACTCAGGGCAACTCCCCTCCCTGATTCCTTTCCTATTCTTAAAGATCTCTGTGGGGATAACACACAGTGTGGGATTCCCAGCTTTAGCATGCTATTAAGTTATTGCCACCCCTAAGGACAACCCTGCAAGGAGGATGAGGACTCACATAACTCTGAATCAATAAAGGAAGCAGCTCAATTAGCATTTCACATGCTTTTCTTCCCTCTCTTCTTACCTTCCCTGCAGTGGGCATGCTTTCCCCTTAAAGGATTGTCCTGTTTCTGCTCTTTGCCAGCGTTGGCAGGGTGACAGTAGTCGAGTGTGCAAACTTGTGCTATTGTCCCCAGGCCAGGGGGAGTCATGGAGACCCACTAATATGACACAGGAAAATGTTTGCTGATGGCAATTCTATGGGCTTTGTCTAACTCTTTCTCCATCATGACGACTCGATTTAAGTCTCTAACTGTTTGACTACAGATGCAAGAGTACTATCCAACTCCATCCTTTTGTCCGGGTAGTTTGAATGGGTAATTCAGCTTTTGTGTGGCTCAATTGAGGGGGCAAACATAAAGACAAGATTCTTGAGCGCTCAAGCTCCTTTTCCATGGATATATGCACATCTCTTTAGAGATTTGTTCCTTTCCTACCTTTTTCTGACATCACCCTCCCTTTAAGGGGGAAAAACCCTGATCAAGAACAGTTTAAAAAGTAGGCTAGCCAGGTCTTCCAAACTAGCATTGTCCAGTGTTACTCAAGCATGGTTAGTGCCAGCCTTCAGACAGCTTTGGAGTAGTTTAAAGAAAAGGGCCTCCAACAAACTTTCTTTACTCATCCTCAGAATATCATGTTTGACTGTGTTTAAGAAAAGGGGGAAGGGGTGGAACGAAAAGAATGGTAGGAATCACAGGGAAATGATCGTATTTATTAGCTGTCTTTCTGTGGCTGTCCCCATGGTGACAATTTGTGATGGCAAAGAATGTGAGAACGGGGAGCCTAATGCCTGATTGGGATGCTTTGTATTTGGCAAAGTGGCTTCTGATTGGCCTGAGAAAGCCTCCTAACTAGAAGGACTTGATATTCATTCAGCTTACTCAAGTGCTGCAAAACACTCACAGGGTCCGGCTGCTTCTCTAAAGGTTGGTAGTGTCTAACCTATGTAACAAGATTAGCTAGTGAGCATCTTCTTCTCTACCACAGAGTTACAGTAACACTCAATATTTAAAAGACAATCTAGCTGGGAGGGAACGTGTATTTAAGTTGGAGCATCATGAAAGTGATGCATAGATTCAATGCAAGGGTTAAGTGCTACCTGCCTAATAAGATTAACTAGTGAGGTCATAGTGGTGGTAAGTGATGTCTGTAGAGAGAAGGGGGAAGCTATGTGTTGAAGGATGGCTGTGGTAATAAGCATGTATCTGGTGCAAAATGCATTATCTGTTAGTTTACTGAATGGCTGTAAAGTAATGTATTACAGTATAAGGAAATGTGCAGCAAAGTCTTTGGAGTGATCCTATAGAAAAAGAAACAACAGTATGTGAGACAATTACCGATATTAGAATCAGTTAATCGTTTGGATAAAATATCTGTTTTTCTAGGGAAAAAACTATTGTTTTTCTTATAGTGGCTTTCCTTTGTGCAAATATAATTCTAAATATGTATAATATGGGAGAGAAACTATAATGCAGTTTTAAGTATTTAGTATCCAAGGTTCCTATCCTTTACAGTGAATTCAATAAGACATACTTCTAAGCAGACATGTATAGGATTACAACGTAAAATACCTTTGTGGTTAACTACATGAAACAGTTATCAGTGGTGCTAAGATGTACACACATGCACAAATCTTTATGTGCTATGTGAGCATACCAAATGTATGAGAAGGTGTATTTGTCATATCTTTGGGCATTTTTACACATTACAGGAAAACGCTTTTAGTGTCTGTTGCCCTATTTGTATGAACCTATACATGTCAATAATGTATGTCAGCGAAGCATTTTTATCCCTGAATTTATACTTGATGTAACAGAGATATAACATTGACTGATCTTATACTGTGAAAAAGAGACCTGCAGCATAAGCCCATTTAAACTGTAACAATCAAAGGAACTAAATGCAGCTCCAAAATGTGAGCAGTTTATAACTAAGTAACTATTATGTGGTCAGGCACATCATACTTTCTAGGAGACAAAACATATATATGAAAAGCATGCGTATGTGTATGCATCTCTCATAACATGCCCTATTTAATGAAGGTTCATGTGGGTTCCAGACAGCGTCTCTTCCATTTGCAGCTCTCCTGTATTTTCCCACCACTTATTCTTTTTCCATATCTCAAGAAAAATCTAGCAAGATAGGAACTACAGAACTCAACATGTGATATCTTTGGGTTTGTAGCACTAAAAGCTCTGACTCTGGAATCACCCAATAGCATGCAAAATTTTCCAGAGTTATCCTATGTGTCAGCCCCTTGTGAGCAGATTAAAAATCATTAGCATACCAACCTGTTTATTTTTTTCCCCTCCAGAGAAAAGGGACATAAAGTTTTAAGTCCACAGTAACGTCAGAGACTATATAATTCCTCATCCTCTCTTTTCAGCCTAACTTTACCATCTCCCCTGTGAATGTGACTGCTCGTGTATCCTCCAGACTGGCAGAGACGTGGGACAAAGGAGGAGAAAACACTTCATGGACGAACGTTTTGCCCCCCGACCCTTCTCACCGGAGGCGGCTCTCTGAGTTGCGAGAGATGGCTTCGGCCGACAGCGAGGTGAAAACCCTCCTGAATTTTGTCAACTTGGCCTCCAGCGACATCAAAGCCGCCCTGGACAAGTCGGCTCCCTGCCGCCGCTCCGTCGACCACAGAAAGTACCTTCAGAAGCAGCTCAAGCGCTTCTCCCAGAAATATTCCCGCCTGCCTCGGTGCCACCATCACCACATGCAGCCCCAACCGCCGCCGCCGCCTGTCAAGGAGCGAAAGGCGGCTGAGGCGAGAACGCGAGGCCTGGCCGCCGCCGACGGCGCAGAGGTTTCTGCAGGCCGAAGTGGCAGCGCCTCCGCCACGCCCCGAGGCGACAAGGCCGCCGAGCCCGTGGGCGAAGCTCACCCTCGCCAGCCCCAGAGCGCCGCCGAGGCGACCCCCAGGCCCGACCAAGTGCCCATGAGGAAAAGGCAGTTGCCCGCCTCTTTTTGGGAAGAGCCGCGGACAGCTACGGGCCCTCTGAGCGTCAACGGAGTCCTTTTCCCAACGAACGCGTCGCCGCCGCCGCCGCCGCCGCCGCCCCTCAAGGACTCGCCTCTTTATGAGCGAAAGAAGAGTAAAAAAGGCGCCGACAGCGACGGGACGGGTTCCGCGGCCGAGAGTCCCCAGAACGAGCCGGACAGAGGGGCCGTTAAGGTCCTGAGCGCTTGGAGCTGCTGTCCATTTCAGTACCACAGACCCCAAGCCTCCCCTGGGGCCTACCCTCCACCTCTCGCGGCCGCCCTGCCCCCAGCTGCCCCCTACTCGACCCTGGGGCTTTGGAGGAAAAACGTGGCCTGCCCAACGGAAGGAGAGGCCTTCTGCAAGCCCGACGGCAGCGGGGCAGGGCAGAAAGTGCACCGGCCTGTGGTATGGAAACCTATCCCTACAAAGCCTGCCGCGCCACCTCCCATCTTCAGCGTGTTTGGGTACATTTAGGCCGGTGAGCCTTCCTCTGATTTGCAGTGGCAGGGTATCTCACTCAGCCTTGGTTGGACCACCCCGAGATCCACCTTGAGGCCATCTCCGCGAGAAGGGAAGGCACGCCGGCGAAGGCTGTAGTGAGGCAGTTAAAACTTTCCAGTTCTGAGGCATGAAAGAATAACTGGCCGGGTTCTGCTGCCCACGATGTGGGATCTTGGTTGTTCCTGAAGTCACACAAAGAAATGAAAATGTGAGGGAGGAGCCCCTTTTTTAATCGGCACCACTCAGTTCTCCATTGAGCTCTGAAGCACACTGGGGGACTTTGGACCAATGATCCTCTCATATAGCCTTACCTATTCTACAGGGTTGTGGAGAAGGTACATGAGTGGAGTATAGAGTAGTTTGAACTATGAACCATGAGTTCCTTGAAGGAAGGGGAGAATGAAAAGGAAAATGATGAAATGGATAACCATAAAAATCATCCATCCTGGGTGTACAACTTGTCTGCTTGGGTTGGCCGAGAAAGCATCATGAATGATGAGTGTGAAGTTACACAGACAAGGCTTCTCTTTGCCTTCACAGTTGTAGAAAGAATTTGTATAGAAGTGTAAGGCACACTTTAGTAAGAACTCATTGTTTCTGTTGTGTAAGAATGTGAAAAAAAACAAAAACAAAAATAATAAACTTTGTTTTCTTATAAACCTCCACTGTTGAAATGTTTTCCATTGGAAAAGTGTCTTCTTCCGGAGAGATTTACATCTTCTGCATACATGCAGGAATTGCTGCTGAACCTGTGTATCTATGAATTGTGAACAGGGCAAATGAATCTGTGATCCATCTGCCCTGTTAGCAGCATTGCCCTTGGTGATTCTGTGAATTTGTTGCTTAGAAGCAAGTAGTCAAGTGTTCTCTCTAGGTGAATGTTACAGTAGTACAAAAGACAGTGGAACTTACTTGACACACATTTTAGGGTGGTAATTTTTCCAGTAGGCAGTGTTTCAAAAGTAGCAGGTGTAAAAAAAGATCTCTGTTTGCAGAGACCCTAGAGAGCTGGTACTTGTCAGAGACGAGGATACTGGACCGCATAATCAATAACATTGCTTCGTGTAACTAACCTTTATGGAGGAAGAACAGGGAAGTAACATGCATGACTCATATAATGCTCCTGAGATAAAGAAATGCATGCCTTTATAAAGTATCGTGCAGATATAACTGTGGAGTGATTTTTCCTATCACTTAGTCAAATAAGTTTTGCATATACTACATTTGAGTAACCAGTAAAATAAATTAGCAAATTACATTGGGATGCATATATTATGGATATGGTTTGGCACCAATGTACAACGACATGAAAACCTCTTATTAAAATATTTCAAATTTTTGTAGACTGTCCTGAAAAGATAGAGAAACATGTTATGGATTTGGACAATTTTTTTTTAAGGGGAATATTTTTCGAAGACAACTTCATGTTCAGAGACAATATTCCACTGAATACCAGTTGCTTAGTAGCAGCAGTAAGAGCGTACTTGCCTTTATTATTTTCTTGTGGATTTCCCAGAGACACCTGGTTGGTTATTGTCAGAAACAGTATGTTGAAGCAGATGGTCCACCCAGCATGGCTTTTTGTTTTTTATATATATTGATCAGGAGTTATAGAGCTCTAGTGCAAAGTATCATGTACTCTGCCTTCTCTGTACTCCACCTTCTCTGCATAATCCATTTTAGGACGGTTTGATTCAATCAGGATGGAATAGGATTGAGAGAAATAGCCTGAGCTCTGTTTAAGGAGGTCTTGTCTCACCAACATTTCAGATAATCTGTGATTATTCCTCAGTATCAATCACCCATATTTTAGATTACTATGTGAGACAATACTAAACCAAATTACTGCAAACTAGTAGCTATGAGAAATGCTCTTGAAATTCACTATTCCTTCTCTATTCTTTTTCCACGGGAAGGGCAATTTTGAATCTATTCAGGACTATTATTTTATCATTGAAAATCTTATCTTCTTACATTGAAATCTTTCCACAGTGAAACATGAAATGATGCCAGCGATTTAAAACTTTCAGTTCAGAAGCCAGAGTTGTTTTTCTGCAATGTTGACTCAAAGGAATTCTTCTGAGAAAAGCTATGCTTTACTTACTTTACTGTCATTTGTTGTTGTTGTTGTTGTTGCTTAGTCGTTAAGTCATGTCTGACTCTTCGTGACTCCATGGACCAGAGCACGCCAGTCCCTTCTGTCTTCCAGTGTCTCCTGGAGTTGGGTCAAATTCATGTTTGTAGCTTCAATGACACTGTCCAACCATCTCATCCTCTGTTGTCCCCTTCTCCTCTTGCCTTCACACTTTCCCAATGTCAGGGTCTTTTCCAGGGAGTCTT